TCGGAGGACGTTCGTCCTCCCCGTCCTTTCCACAAGTGGGAGTGGGTGCAACCTCTCCCTCCTCTAGACCGCCGTCACTCGTGTGAGGAGGCGGCTCACGTCGTGCCTCGCCGTCCTCCAAACCCGCTCCTGTGGAGTGGACTGGGGCGCCTGCTGGAGTGCACCGAGTCTGCGCCTAGCGGAGTGGACCGGGTCCTCCGAGCTCCGTCTCCTCCTCTGTGCCAACAACCGGCGCTGGCGACCAGGGATGAGTGATCCTGAACCCTGTATCCTCCTCCGTCACTATCACATCAGTGTTCGAGKCTAGCTCCTCTGCATGAACCGGGTCGCGCTGCGTCTCGTTGGAAGGATCTCCCATCTCGTACTCTGATACGGCAACCGGGTCCTGCCGCATGTCACGTGCCCCCGTGTCGATCGCAATGTGGACACGACGTCTGCATACACGAGACGTAATACTGTCATCCCGCCTACCCCCGTGTCTCAACCGCTTCAAAACGTAGTGACCACGGGGCATAAAATCGCCACGGCACCCGCTCCGTCCACCATCACCCCCCCCCTCACTGCTTCCACCATCTCCCCCCTCGTCACCGCCACCATCTCCCCCTTTGTCACCGCCCCCGCCTCCGCCACCGCCGCCCTCGCCCTTGCCTCCGTCTCGACGGTGGCGGTGGCAGCCAGGGTGGGCGGTTCCGTGAGCGTGGTGGACCATTGGACGCTGCGCCGCTCTCGACGGTGGCGGTGGCAGCCAGGGGTGCTCCGACGAACTGCGGGGTGATGCGCCAGGTGCCACCGCAGTACCACCCCGTGCGGCATCTGACTGCCTAGCACTCCTGAAAACAGGGGCGAGCGCGGGCGCTGAACTGCCGACACTCCCCCCCCACCTGCGACTCTCAATAAATGCACGTGTGCTCTCCTCGTCAAATGCCACAGAGCCCACACCATCCCTCAAAGGCGGGGGCTCGTTGGCTGGCGTGGAACGACCAACTCCCACATCGCGAGCACCTCGTGTCTCAGCCAGCGGCGCAAACGGCGGGGCTGCCGGTCGTGTTGCAACTGTTGTTGCAGGACGCAGTACCGTGACTCGAATGGCCGGAGCCCCAGAATTGGGCGATGCGACGGCTCCAGAAGGGGCGGTGGGAGGAACCAGCGGCGGCACTGCGTCCTCGGGGAATCGAAGAGGTGGCCACTGCAAGCTCGGATGACCTGGCAAGTGGCTCTGCAACGTTTCTATGTCCGACACGAACTCCTTTGGACATTTTGTCATGTCCTTCGACCAGATCGCATTCCACACAGCAGGAGTGGCTGCCTCACATCGAAACTTCTCGCTCTTCGAGAAGTGCTCCCTGGCGGCTTTAGCGTCCCCACAAATCGAACGCCCTCACAACCTGCACAGGCATCGACGACCGCTCTTCCTGCCCGCCGCCGTCGACCCATCCAAATAACGCCCTCTGGCCACGAAATGCCACACCGGGTCGTCCCGCTTGCCGTCGACTGTCGGGTCGACCTTGAACAGCGAGTCAAACGTCTTCCTGTTATGACCTTGTCGGGCGGTCGTGAGCGAGTCTCACGGATCCTTCCCCTGGTCCTGCGACATGATGAAAGTCGCCAACCGCGAAAAAAAAAAGACGATGTCGGAACCCTCTGAGAATGTTGCCAACTCGCAACAGAGATCGAAGTCGGCGTCAGAGCGGCAAAGAAATGCTATGAAACAGGCAAAAACGATGAACGCAAAGTGCAGAACATCTGGACATCAGAGGGAAAACACAAGACGACATGAAACAAAAAAACAAACAACCAAAGAACAACAAAAAAAACTCAGAACTCGGAGGCAAAAAAAAAAAAACGCCGATGTTCTCTGTCCCTTGTCAAAAAAACGACAATGTTCTCCGCAAGGCAACCGTTCCACAGGCGGAACTTCCGATATTAGGAGGGCGATCCCACTAGCCACGTATGTGGAACAGTGTGACTGGTGTGGGACGGCTGGGGGACAGGCGGGTGGTAGAGGAAAAGAGGGAAAATAAACGGAAAAAAAAAAGGGCAAGATTAACTCCACACACCGTTTGCTAACTCCACACACCAACAAAAGAGAGAGAGAGAGAGAGAG